GGGGCCTGGCTATAGAGGGGGCGGGGCGGAGACTGGAGGGCCCTGAGATGGGGCGAGGTCAGAGGCGGAGCCTGGGGTGGGGCCCGAAGATGAGGTGCGGGCAGAGCCTGGGGTAGCCGAGGTGGTGGAAGGAGGCAGAGCCTGGGGCGGGGCGGGTGAGTGTCAGCATGGGTGGGGTCCTGGAGGCCAACTCCGCCTGCGCCTCCACGCATCCCTCCCTCCACCCTGTTTCTCTCGCAGGCGGCTACTCCTGGGGCCTGGGTCCCGTCCCCACGCTGTCCCCCACCCCGTCCTCAGCCCTCGATGGCCCGGTCGGCCCCGAGGAGGACGAGGCCCGGCAGACCGTGGCCCTGATCGCCGGGGTCCTGGGCAGCCTGCTCACACCACTCTTCCTCCGCGGCGTCCTCGCCTTCCTCATCTGGTGGATTGCCACCTGCCAACTGCTCTCCAGCCTCTTCGGCCTGTACTTCCACCAGCATCTGGCTGGCTCCTAGCCCACCTACAGACACTCCTGCAGCCCCAAGGTCTGGTCGTGGGCCAGCGGGGCGCGGGCCACCCCCTCAGTGTCCCCAGGTGCACTGTGGTCGTGGGAGTCCCAGATGCGTCCGCTGTGCCAGTCCCCTTCACTGCATGCCTGAGCCGTGGCCACGCCTTGGACCTTGAGCTTCTGCCTAGAAACTGATTCCCCAGGCCCAGCGGCAGAGGGTCCCACGGCCAGCCGTTGTTCCCAGATTGCACGTGCCCAGTTTGACTGCAGTGGGGGTGGGCGTGGGGGTGGGAGGGGGCACTCTTCTGAACAAATAAAGGAGCAAGCCGATTTTTTAAAAAATTCATTTAATTTATTTATTTTTGGCTGCTTTGGTTCTTTGTTACTGTGCACGGGCTTTCTCTAGTTGTGGCGAGAGGGGGCTACTCTTGGTTGTGGTGTGTGGGCTTCTCATTGTGGTGGCTTCTCTTGTTGCAGCGCATGGGCTCTAGGCACGCGGGCTTCAGTAGTTGTGGCACGTGGGCTCAGTAGTTGTGGCTCACGGGCTCTAGAGTGCAGGCTCAGTAGTTGTGTCGCATGGACTTAGTTGCTCTGCGGCATGTGGGATCTTCCGGGACCAGGGCTCGAACCGGTGTCCCCTGCATTGGCAGGTGGATTCTTAATCACTGCACCACCAGGGAAGCCCGAGCAAGCCGCTTTTTACAAAAAGGATCCAGACGGTTTGGGAGGCGGCTTTCTGCATGCTGTCAGGTTAAGTGGTGCAGGCTGGGTGAGGAGTCCGGGGCTTCAGTGCTCAAAGAAGGGAATAATGGAGGGACAGCATAGCAAAGGCCTGGGAGGAAGAAACGAAGAGAGAATGAAAGGGGGTGAGAAGAAATGGACCAAGGGTGAGAAGTGAGAGAAATGGGGGGAGAGGGAGGTGGGTGAGCCCATGGTACTGGGCAGGGGGCCATGGGGGATACTGCCCTCTTCCACAAGTACAGGGGGACTGCCTTCTTATCAAGGTCACACACAGCAAATGGGCACATTGTTGAGGCCGTAGTGACCCAGGAGAAGGAGGACAAGGGTCCATCACCAACTGGCATTTTCCTGTAGCTGTGGCCACGCAGTGGGAAACCTGTGTGCGTGCACGTGTGTATTCTAATGTACGTGTTGTTAAAATCCAACTGAGTACATTTTAAAAATCTTATTGGCTTTATATAACAATTCATGAATCGGGCTGCATCCAATCCAGCAGATAGAAAGGAGTTCTGAGGCAGAAGGGAGTAAGGCAGAAGTTGTAAGGCAGAAGGGAGTGGGAACAAGGAAGTTATATTAGCGAAAAGTGGACTTGTGGCAAGGTCCCTTTCCTTTAGGGGATGGCACCTGTCTATCAGGTAGATCATCTCACTTGTGCTGATCAGGTGATTTCTGATTGACTGGTTTCAGAGTCCATTTCTGGACGAGCTGAAACTGTAATTAAGTCTCGGTTTGGTGACATAAGTCTTAGCGTAAGTGACTCCATTTTGAGCCCGTCTTGTTTTTTTCACAATGTAAGCTATGTAATCTTTTAGCATATGTAAAATGTACATTAAGAATAAAAAAGACAAGGTGGGACTAACCTGGTGGTCCAGTGGTAAAGAATAAGCCTACCAATGCAGGGGACGTGGGTTCGATCCCTGGTCGGGGAACTAAGATCCCGCATGCTGCGGGGCAACTAAATCTGCACGCCACAACTACTCAGCTCACGCGCCTCAACTAGAGAGCTGGCGTGCTGCAAACAACAGAGCGCACGTGCCCTGGAGCCTGCAGGCCACAACTAGAGAGAAGCCCACGCACCGCAACGAAGAGCCCGCGTGCTGCAACGAAAGATCCTGCATGCCTCAACAAGATACAGTGTGCTGCAACTAAGACCCGAGGCAGCCAAATAAATAAATTAATAAATAAATATTTAAAAAAAAAAAGACTAAAGAAGACAAAGCAAAGCCATTTCCCTCACCAGGGTGGAAGCCAAGGGCCTAAGTGATGGTGTGGGACCCAGCATAGCTGCCCAGCCAACGCGGTGAGCGTGACCCACCTCGGGGCCTTGCGCTTTGCTGCGGGTTCCCTCACCTTGTGTGTCACCTGAGGGGATAAGCGCCCTCACCAACCTCTCCTCCCAAGCCCAGCTGACCCACTGATTTGCTACATATCTTGTACAAGAACAAGCAACAGGGAGCATGATTTCACTTAGGGAAGTGAGGTTATAACCAGACACCCGAACAAAGTGCTGACATGTGGGGCGGGGGAGCTGGGAATGCTGTTGTCCTGGCCCCTAGATGGGTGTTTGACTTTTGAAACTCTGTGCTTCTGTTGCATGGATAAAAACGAAAAGTGTGTTAAACACAAGGCTTAAGGCGAACTAAATGCATCGTCTCGTGTTGATCCTACTCAAAACACTAGTAAAAGTATAGAGGCTACAGAACATTCCAAAGGTGGGAATTAAGAGAGGAGCCACAATTGACTGCCTGGTCCATGGATGGTAAACCCAAAGCCCAGCCAGATTTACCTGTAGAACCTTCCATAGGCACTGAGTGCACCAGGTCCCACTGGGCTGGGCTGAAGATGGCAGTGGAACATGGAGGCCTCTGGTGTGGAAGCTGTTTGGGAAGTTCAGGTACCTGTGTCCCTCCCACAGTACCACTGGGCAGCCAGAAGGAGGGAAGCCAGGCTTGGTAGGGGGTGTGGTGGCAAATGGGGTTAAGTGACTACACATAAAGCTAAATGGAGAGAGCCACCATCCCTTACCCTGTGTGCAGATTACAGAATCTTCCAGGCATGAGACTGAAGACTCCTGGGGAATCCAAATGGCCAAAGAAGAAAGAGCTAAAGACACTGGCACATGGAGTTCTCATCAGCTGCCAGTTGAGCTGTGCCCCACCCAGTGCTTCCTGAGTACCACACGGTCCATCCCGACTGACGTCCCCAAAGGGACAAGTGTGTGTGCACAGGATCTCTCTGGAAGGAGACACGAGAAACGTAATGGGAGACATCCCTGCAAAGGGAACTGGGAGGTAGACCTACTTTTCATGGTAAACTCTTTGTGCAGTTTGCATTTTCTAGCCAATCATTTAACAGTCCAAACAGCAATTACATTAAAAAAAAAAAAGTTTATTCAAAAATCTGTCGATGGGGCTTCCCTGGTGGTGCAGTGGTTAAGAATCTGCCTGCCAACACAGGGGACACGGGTTTGAGCCCTGGTCCGGGAAGATCCCACATGCCGCGGAGCAACTAAGCCTGTGCGCAACTACTGAGCCTGCGTGCTGCAACTACTGAAGCCCACACGCCTAGAGCCCACGCACCGCAACGAAGAGTAGCCCCCGCTTGCTGCAACTAGGGAAAGCCCACGCGAAGCAACGAAGACCCAACACAGCCAAAAATAAATAAATAAGTAAATTAAAAAAAAAATCTGTCGAAATAACTTCAACCCTGTTTTTGGTTCGTGGGGGGTGAGGCCCAGAGCCGAAGAAGAGACATGGGCAGGAGAAAAAGTCATTTTAATTTTTATTAAATATACTCTCTTGTCACAAATCTTTAAAATATATAAACATTATATATAAACAAAGTGTCTTCATGGCATCAAAATGTAACTCCAAATCAGGCCAGGCAATCAGTGAGAGGGGTGACTGCCGAGGGTGCAGGTCCGACTGTGTGCAGGGCTCGGGGGCTCGGGGGCGGTGCTGCCGAGGCTCGCTTGGCTGGGAGCCACCTTGGGGAGGCACACTGGGGCTGGCAACCCTGGGGGACCCTCCCTGCTCCTGCCCAGCCTGCAGCTCAGAAGAGGGTGCTGTCTAACCACCTATCTGGTCTCACCAGCCTGGGGTGGACCGCCAGTCCCTGCTGTTCTTGCCTGGGGGCCCTCACGTTCCCATCCTGTCTCCCTGTGAGGGACGCCCCTGCCTCTCCTGAGCACTGGGCAAGGCTGGGAGGGAAGGTGGGTCGGATGCTTACCCAACAGGGCAGCCATCACAGGCTGCTTGGGCCCCCGGGAATGAGAGTCTGGGGACAAGACTGGGGCTGGCTGGTGGAAACATGCAGGAAGGACAGAAAGAGGGGTCTTCACACCCACGGGACTAAGGCAAGAAAAACAGAAACAGGACAGAATGAAGGGAGGAAATGAAAATCACAACTGGAAATGCATGTGTGGCAACAAAGATACCCTCTCAGACCCTTTCACACATCATGGCTACTGAGCCCACTGTGAAAACCGACCCTCTGGTGGTCCTGGTCCTGGAACCAGATTGGACTGGTCAGGGTTTACTGTGTCTAGACCCAGGGCCAGCCAAATTGCAAAACCAAACCAAAAAAAATCAAACTCCAAATGTCACTAGGAAACAGGTGTTTCCAAGTCCCTGTGATTCCCGGTGGGCCCTAGGGGGCCTCCTCTGTGAGACCATATCTCTGGGGTACCCTGACTCTTCCAAGCTTCCTGCCCCCAGGCTAGATGCTGTCTCGGGCTCTCACTTTGGGAGAATCAAGGTGGCCAGCTGCCTCCATGTACTCCGTTCACAGGAAATCAGACAAACCCACGGGCCTTAAATTGCCCCATGTCCCAGCCAAATAACTGCTCAGGTGGGGAGCCAGGGATGTGCCAGATGCCATGGGTCCCCCCCAAGAGCCCCCATGCCTATGGGCAGAAGGCCAGGGCCTGAGGCCCAGCCTCTATTAGTGCAGCCAGTGGGGGATGAGAGCTTCCTGGCAACCCAGGCAGATGCTTCAGGCTGGGGCTCAGACCCAAACCCATGGCAATTCCTCAAACCCTGTTGCCCGGAGGAGGTGTGACCCTCCTGAGAACATTACAAACTGGGGCGTGGGGGGGCACAACAGAGGGGAAGACCCAATCCCAGGGGCCCGGGATAGAGTCTGGGATCGGCATAACACTCTTAGGAGAAGGCTGTGCCCAAGCTGTAGACGCTGGGACAGACAAGGAGTCGTGTTACCCCAGAAGTGGTGAAGGCAGGAAAGGCGGGTCAGGCAGGGCGGGGCGAGAGGCTGCATTTGTAGCCACCAGCTGAGCAGGAGGCTGGTCTCATGGGGACAGGGCAGGAGGCCAGGCCGCAGCCCCACACTCTCTGGGGCTGCCCCCGCCACAGACATAGACTCGGAACAACAAGGGGCAGGCGGGGTCTGGCTCTGAGCCCAGGGGGGACCAGGTCACTAGAACCAGGGGCCTGTCCAAGGACACAGAGCGCACCAGGAAGCAGTGCTGGCCCCTCGTCACTCAGGGCATTCATGGTAATACCTCCCGGGGCAGCCCCGACCCTGCTGAGGCGGGAAGAGGAGAGCACGGGAGCTCCGACCCCCCGGCCCCAACAATGCACTTCGAGGGCCACTGGCTTTCCCCTCAGACCTGTGCGCACTGAGCCCAGGCCCCCCAGCTTGTTCCACAAGGCGCACCCGCGCACCTCCTGGGTGCAACCCGGCACACCCTTGCTCGCTGGGCTCAGAAACAGAAGGGGTCAGCGGTCCATCGCGAACTGAAGCTCGAGAGCAGCCGACCCCACTGGCCCCTAGCTCTGCAGGTGCCGCAGCAGGATCTGCATGAGGTCAAAGGTGGTGAAGCTGATGCCCACAGCGATGGGACCCTTGAGCCAGTTCATGCTCAGGCCTTTGTAGAGGCCGCGTACCACGCCCTCCTCCCGCATGATGGTGTGCATCGTGCGCGCGATGGAGGTGCGCTGGTGGCCCGTGACGCCGGCCGTCTGCATGCGCCGCCGCACCACGTCCAGCGGGTAGGAGGCCGACTGCCCGATGAGGCCCGCGCAGGCCCCGAAGATCATGCGCTCAAAGGGGTAGGGCTGCAGGCGGCCACTGTACTCTGCAGGGGGAGGGGGGAGGGGGGAGGGGCTGTGAGGGCGATAGGAAGGGGCGCACACCCAACGGCGCACTGGCAGCCACCCGTGCACCCCCGCGCCCCGCGCTCACATGCGCCGGCAGTGTCACAGCTGCATTTCAGGACCTGACCGGCTCTCCTGGGCCTTCCCACCCAGGCCATAGCTTCCCTACTTCCTCACCTACTGGTCCCTCGTTTTTAATCAAATTTGAGAGAGAAAAGATTTTTACAAGACAGAAAAGCACAAAGAATCATATAACCAAGTCCTAAGACCAAGAACAAGCTCACATCCAGTCACTCTTGTTTCTCGTCTAGTAAAGAAAAAACATCACTCAGTGGGAAGCAGCCGCATAGCACAGGGAGATCAGCTCAGTGTCCACCTAGAGCGGTGGGATAGGGAGGGTGGGAGAGAGACGCAAGAGAGAGGGGATATGGGGATGTGTGTATACTTACCGCTGATTCACTTTGTTATACAGCAGAAACTAACACACATTGTAAAGCAATTATACTCTAATAAAGATGTTAAAAAAAAAAAAAAAAAGGGCTTCCCTGGTGGCGCAGTGGTTGAGCGTCCGCCTGCCAATGCAGGGGACGTGGGTTCGTGCCCCGGTCCGGGAAGATCCCACATGCCGCGGAGCGGCTGGGCCCGTGAGCCATGGCCACTGAGCCTGCGCGTCCGGAGCCTGTGCTCCGCAACGGGAGAGGCCACAACGGTGAGAGGCCCGCGTACCGCAAAAAAAAAAAAAAACTGGAAAAAAAGAAAACATCACTCATGTCTGGAACCCTCTCCACGGCCCAGCCTGCCTGACAGGCACCCTCCCCTGGGTGCTGTGAGGGCGGGTGGGCCGGAGGGAGGAAGGGGCAGCAAGGGATCACAGGGGTTCTTTAAAAATGTGTTGTAAATTGGAAATTAGGAATTAAAAACAGGGAGATGCCCTACTCAGCAGATTGGCAAAACGTTAAAGAACCTGCCAGCACCGCTAGGGGTGAGAAGGGGGCAGGGCGCCAGGGCAAGAGCTGTCACTGGAAGAGCAGAGGGTGGAGAGTAAAACCCAAAACACAGGGTCTCGCACCCACACAAGGAAAGGAGCTCTTGATGTCAGCTGATCACAGAAAACCCACAAATGGCCTCACGGCGCCCCAACGGGGGACCCCCCCCCCCCCCCCCCACTGCTAAAAGGATGGGTCAGAGCTGCACTACCCGGAAGTGCAGGAGTTGACCGCTCAATCGCTTCCCATAACCAGGAAACAGCACAAGGCTTGCTCCCGCTACACAAAACCGCAGATAGAAGGGTTTCCAACGGAGGTGAGGGGTGGAGCCCCACCCCTAATAAGGAGGCTCAGGGGAGTGGGGCTGAGGGTTCTGGACAAGGGATCTCAGCTTTACCTGGACCGTTTTCTTTCTTTAACAAAAAACATCTTGGAGCAAATAAGGCAGTTTGTTAATGACTGATCGAACCGGGCGGGGGCAAGTATGGGTGGGGTTACAATGTTCTCTGTACTTTTCTAGTTTCTCAAAATTACCAAAACACACGAGGGCACTTCCCCTCCGTCTAGGTTTTACCCATAGGCTTGTGCGCACACCAGGGGCCTCCAGCCCTCTGGGTGACACTCTGGACTTCACAAGGTTGCTCTCAAAATGAGGCACTAAAGGTCAGGAGTCCAGCTTCCCCGGGGCTGGCCTGATCCAGACCCTGGGCCCCCGGCCTTCCCCTCCCAGGGGGGTCTTAGTGCCCCTCTGCCTCCACCCGCCTCCAGCCCTGTGTGACCCGCGCAGGCGCTGCCCTGGCCCCACACTCCTGACCTCTGTGCAGGCTCTTGAGGGTCTCGTAGGTGAAGAAGCTCAGGCCGGCGTAGGGAATGACCCCCAGTACGGTGGGAATGAATCCGTGGTAGAGGGTCTTCAGCCCCTCTTCTCGGGAGATGCGGATGAAGACGTGAAAGATGTTGCTATACCTGCAGGACAGAGCGGGGGGCGGGGGAGGCCTCAATTCACTAATTCTCGCCTCTTCCCACGTCAGCGGGGACAGGCCTGGATGCTGACCGACAGAACCGCACAGAAGCTCTGGCATTCGAGGGGGGCCCTGCACGCCCAAGGCCATGGCCACCTTCACCACTGGGATCACTCCGCCGTGCTCGGCGCTTGGCTGTGTCTGCCTCCACATGAACACTTCGGGTTGGACGGAAGCAGAAACTGATCCCCAAGCTAAGAGACCCAATTACGGCCTTTCTGTAACAGCTGTGGAGCCGCACACCTGGCCCGCCCTGCGGTGCCGGGGGAGGGGGAGGTAGCAGAGCCTCCGCCCAGCTCTGTCTGCAGCTGGATGTGGAGGCCCAGACCCAAACCCCAGGGGCCCAATGGAGGGCGCCCACCCGGGAACCCCACTAGACACAGAGCCCCCGCTGCTGGTGAAAACGTCGCCGTGCGTGGTAGGGCTCACATTTCCTTTGGGGTCACGGCCATCCGCGCCCTGACCAGGTCCAGGGGGTAGGTCAGCGAAGCGGCCGTCGTTCCAGCCAGTGCACCAGCGAGGAGGCGGGGCCAAGGGGGCAGGGCTCTGAAAGAGGGTGGGGAGGAGGTCAGAGGCCAACGCCCCGGGTGCCCACAGGTCTGGGGGCGGGGAGGGATGGAGGAACGGCACCGGCTGCAAGGCAGCCAGCCGAGTTGAAGCGGGCGGCGCGGGGGAGAGTCTCTGGGTGGACGCCATTTTGAAGTTCCCCTGGCTGCCTTGCCTTTCCCCCTCCTCGTACGAATGAATGAACAACGAGCACCTTCCCTACCCGCTCTGGGGCACGGGTAGGATCAGTGGCCGTCGTGGGACTGAGGTTCTGAGGGGAGGCCGGATAAACGAGAAGTTCTGAAACGCTGAGCAGGTGGAAGACAGGAGAACAGGGTGATGTAATCGCGCTGAGAGGGGTCTTTTTGGGGGGGGCGGGAGGGAGGGCTCACTCTCCGCGGAAGCCGTAGTAGCTGCCCAGCAGGCGCTTGTACTCCTCGTGCGCGCTGAACTGGATGGCGGCGTAGGGCACCACGCGCACCATGGTGGCCGAGTTTCCGCGCCACAGGCTGAGGAAGCCTTCGTTGAGGTAGGTGAAGTAGAGGAGCCGGAAGGCCTCCTGGGGGGAGGGCAGGGGAAAGGGGCAATGGCAGTGCCCTCCGTCTCTGCCTGAGTAGTGCCTTTGCTGGCAGAGCGCTGGGCCGCCCTGCCCACCTTACATGGCCCAGCCCAGCGCCTGGGGGAGCCATCGTCCCCCTCCCCCGCATTCTCTGGGCTCTGCGCTAGGACCCCCGCACGCCCAGCCCCAGTCCTCCGGCCCTGGGAACTGGAAAGCGAGCCAGAGGGAACCAGGCTTGCAAAGCAGGCTCAGAGCCCCACAGAGGGTATTTTGTTGGCGTCTGGTAGTCTAGCTTTTTAAAATATTCTTCTTTTCCTTTATTAAGAAGGTAACACCTGCTCCGTGTTTAAAAATAAATCAAATATGACAACTGTGAGTTTAGACTGTCAAGTCCTCTCACCGCTAGCCCAAGGATAAGGGGGGTCTCCCGTCAATTCCCAGGGTGGGCTGTGTCCAGGCAGAGCTCAGGGTGCAGATGGGTGGCCTTGGCCCTGGTGCCTGGCAGGGGAGGCCTTGGTCACCCGGCGGCCCTGGAGCTGGCCTGGGGCGGGGGTGCGGGAGAGCCGATGGGAAAAAGCACCTTGAAAAACGTTTCCCCAACCTCTACCACCCTCCTCCTCTGCCGCTGCCAGCCCAGCAGGGTGGAGGTGAAGGTCGTAGAGCAGGGGCTCCTTGACCTAGTGGCTCACCTTGGCAGAAAATCTTTTTGAGGACACTGGAAAAAAACAAAACAAAACACAACAGAGAGTGTGAGATATGAAGGATGGGACCCTCCCCCCAGTCTGCATGACCCCCTCTGCAGGGGTCTGGTCTGAGCATGGGGAGAGCCTCCCCTGGGAATGCCTCCCCCACAACCCCTACAAGGGCTGAGGTGGGGGCCTCCACAGCAGAGTCAGCCTCCTCCCAGGAGCCTCGTTACCACCCCCGGCCCACATCCAGGCCTCTCTGCACACCGGCTTCTTCCCAGGAAGGGGTGCCCAGCTGCCACCTGACCCCCAGGACAGTGGGGATCTCTGTAGGGGCCTGTGGGAGGATGCACCCCTCCGGGGTTGACACTCAGCAGTCCCCACCCCTGCTGGACCCCACTTCTGCCAGACCCCTTTTGGGGAGGCATCCCAGCCACCAGCCATGCGGGGGTCAGCCAAGGGGCTCTGGCTCCTGCAGGACAAGGCCACGGGGGTGTCTGACATCTGCGGCCTGCCCTCTCTTCTCCACAGCCTGGCCCAGGCAGCCCTAGTGCCCACTCTCCCGCTCTCCAGGGCTGCCTGGCTCACCCCGATCCCCCACTTCCCGAGCGTCGGCTGTGTTCCCAGGATAGCCTTGCGCTCCCATCTGTGTGGACGTATGCACACCACCTGCCTTTGGAGTTACACCCAAGCTCCCTGTAGGGCACTGCGCTGAGCATCTGTTCCAGGAACAACACAGCTGCGTGTGGGGGGTGGGGAGGGTACGTGTGCTCAGCTGCATGCCCAGCCTTTCCCATGTCAGCTCACTCCTCCACCCCCTCCTCCTCAGGGAGGAGGTTGATACCAATGCTCCTGTTATATGGATGAGGAAACTGAGGCCCAGCAGTCCTCTCCTCCCAAACAGCTGAGGGGCGGGGGTCCCAGGTTGTGACCGTCCTCCTTCCCAGCACCCCTCAGACACTGGCCACCATCTGCAGGATGGAAAGGCCTCATCTTCAGGGGACCCAGTGCCTGCTCAACCCTAAGAAGGGAGGGATATGGATTCTTGAACTGTGTCCTCCCCAGCGATGTCCTCACCCCCCGCACCTGTGAACACGACCTTAACTGGAAACAGAATCTCTGCAGATATAATTGAACTGAAGTCACACTAGAGGAGGGTGGGCCCTAATCCAGTGACATGGGTCCTTGTAAGAGGAGAGGACCCAGACACAGAGGGGAAGGCAGAGACGGGGGAAGCGGCCACAAGCCAAGGATGCCTGGAGCCACCAGAAGCTGGAAGAGGCAAGGAAAGGTCCACCCTCAGGGCCCCAGCAGGAACCAATCCTAGAGACACCTTGAATTTGGACTTTTGGCCTCCAGAAAGTGGGAGAATAAATTCCTGTTGTTCTAAGCTGCCTGGTTTGTGGTACCTTGTGACGTCAGTCCTAAACACTAACAGACTTTCTAAGTGGATTCTACAGAGGCGTTTTAAAAACCACTTTGCAGAGCAGTCTGGGGGGCCGTGGAGGGGGAGGAGGATTGCTTGGCAGCTTCTCTATGACACGGGATAGATGGACAGGCAGCGTTTACCTTGGAAGATTATTTTGGTTCGGTCCAGGGGAGCTACCGCCGTTTTGGCAAGAGCGCCAGCCAGGGCCCCTGACAGGAGGGAGCTAAGAACTTGCCTGTGATCACTCTGCAAGAAAACATACGAACACACAGTCTGTCATCAGAGAGGGAGAGGAGGCATCTGTTCTGCTCAGGAAAGTTTCCTGAGGGTCTACCTTCTCCCCCTGGTCCAGGGCTGACAGACACACGGTGGCCAGAGTGACACAGCCCTGCTAGGCCCTGAGCATGCTGGGCACGGGCTGAGCCATGGTGGGTCCAGCAGCCACAAAGCCTGGTGGGACACAGTGAAAACCTCCTGGGCCACAGGGACCAACCACGTGAGAGGTCATGCACTGGCTGGGCTGTCCCGTGAGGTTCCAACTTCTCGGAGACGGCCTACGACGGGACGAACTCCAAACATAAGCGTCACCCCCAACCTGTCCTACTTTCAAGCCTTGGTTCCACCCACCACCTGTGAGGGATTCTCCCGTTGCAGTGTTTCAGGGTAAAGGTTCCTGGTGGTCTGGGGAGTGGGTGGGGCATATTAGGCAAGCAGACCCTGACTGTTCAGCGTGTCTCCTTTCCACAACTTTCTATCAGGACTTCAGGGGCTGGCTGGCATCTGTGGCTCTTCATCCAGCCAAGGCAAGGGCGATGGAGACAGATGTGGCTGACCAGCACTGTGCACTCCTGTGGCCAGCCTCAGAGCCAGTGCTCTCCCAAGTCTTCCTGTGGCTCCCCGAGCCCCGGCTCCAACAGCCCTCCCTCCCTAGAGGCCCAGGGAGACCTGAGTTGTCACACAGGAAGCCACCTGCTCATTGGGTTGGAGTCTCCATCCCCGCTGCTGACTCAGCCACAGAACTTTCTGGAAGTGCTCTTCTGGACATGCCCCACATGTCCTCACTCTGCAGCGCACAAGGCTGGTGAGGAGCAGGTAGCTCAGTGATCCCGGGAATCTGTGAAGTCTGCTCGGACCAGGCACCCTCAGGGGCCTAGAGACACATGGAGTGAGGCAGGGGCATGTACAAGCCTTCACCACTCCCCTCACGGGGCTGCCAGTCCACGGGGGGAGCAGGACATGAACTAACTCTTCAGACAAATGTGTGAAGAATCACCAATCTGGGAGGGGCTATGAGGAGTGGGCTCGGGGCTCCAGGAGAATGCAGGGTGAGGGGTAAGGAACCGAGGTTGAAGGATGAGGTACACCTAACTGCAGGGCTTGTGCATGTGTGCGTGTGTGTGTGTGTGCACGTGTGTGACACTCTTAGAGGGGGAGGAACGCAACACTCAGAGGCCCCAGTGAGAAGGAGTGGGGGGCCCTGGGGGACCACAAGGAGGGCAGGGTGGCTGACACAGGGAAAGGGACGGGCACAGGGAAGAGAGAAGAGACGAAAGGTGGGTGGGGCTGGACCCCACAGACTGTGGAGGCCTGACAAGGAGGCTGGTCTTTGCCTAAAGAGAAATGGAGAAGTGTGGAAGGTAAACAGGCTATTTTAACTGGAACCAGAGAAGAGGCAGCTCCTGTGAAACCCAGGATGGAGATGGCAGAGGATGGGACCAGGGGAGGCTGTGAGAGGGGTGGGATGAAGGGGCATTTGGGTGTACAACTGGTAGCCTGGGTCCCAGTGGGCATGGTGGAGTCCAGGGCTATGCCCCAAGTTTGCTCAGCTCAGCGGTGGCTCAGGGGGAAGGGCTGGGTCTGTCCACACTCCTGGCCCGAGTCTGGGCTCGGTGCTCCCTTCACCAGCCCAGCTGACCTCTCCCTAAAAGAACAGAGTCCCGCAGCAGCGTTTTCCCCACTCAGTTTCTAAGGCCAAGCTTCACCAGGGGGTTCCATCTTCTTGCTTCACAGAGGCCTGTCACTGGGGACCCCTGCCTTTTCTGGGTCACACAGCAAGGTTCTCGTCCTTTGGTCCCATTGGCTTTGAGGGTTGTAGACATCTGATGCCAGAAGGCTCAGTGGTGTTCCTGGCACCAGCTCCGAGGCCCTGTGCCTCAGTTTCCTCTCTGTGAATCAGTGTGGTGACAGCTGACCTTGAGCTACCATGAGCACAGGGAATGCCCTACAGGGAGTCTATGTGTTCTGTGGGCACCAGAAGTGGAGCCGATGTGTCCCTTCCATCTCCTTCACCAGGTTACTTCCTGCGCAAACTGTGGTGCCTACAAGCACAAAGCCAGCTCTGCACGTGGGGAACACACATCCTTAAACCCTAGCTCTCAATGTGGCGCTTCAGGGACATGCTGTGAGCCCACTTCACGTGCTTAGTGGAGGAGGCTGCTGCTGCCTTCGGCAGACGCTCCCACTGACTTTTTTTTTTTTTTTTTAAAGAGGCATCGGGGCAGCATATAGCTTATTTATTTATTTATTTATTTATGGCTGTGTTGGGTCCTCACTGCTGTGCGCGGGCTTTTCTCTAGTTGATGACAGTGGGGGCTACTTTTCATTGTGGTGTGCGTGCTTCTCACTGTGGTGGCTTCTCTTGTTGCGGAGCACGGGCCCTAGAGCGCGCAGGCTTCAGTAGCTGTGGCACGGGGGCTCAGTAGTTGTGGAGCATGGGCTTAGTTGCTCTGGAACATGTGGGATCTTCCCGGACCAGGGCTCGAACCCGTGTCCCCTGCATTGGCAGGTGGATCCTTAACCACTGCGCCACCGGGGAAGTCCCCACTGACCTTTTTTTTTTTTTTAAATTTTATTTTTTTGGCTGTGTTGGGTCTTCGTTGCTGCACATGGGCTTTCTCTCGTTGCAGCAAGCAGGGGCTACTCTTCATTGCAGTGCACAGGCTTCTCACTGCGGTGGCTTCTCTTGTTGCAGAGCACGGGCTCTAGGTATGTGGGCTCAGCAGTTGTGGCACACAGGCTTAGTTGATCTGCGGCATGTGAGATCTTCCTGGCCCAGGGCTCAAACCTGTGTCGCCTGCGCTGGCAGGCGGATTCTTAACCACTGTGCCACCAGGGAAGCCCCCCCAACTGACTCTTAAATGACCACAGCTGGCTTATTCTTTAAAGAGCTTGGTTGGCATAGGCATCACTGAATGGTCAAAGTCTCCATACCCATCATATGGAGAGATCCTGCAAATGAAAAAGGAGGCAGGCAGCCCGACGGAGAGGAAACAGGTGATCCATAGATGGGATCCACACCAGCGGTGAACATCACAAGATGCCTGGCTCCTTAACTAAAGAAATGGGACTTTGCAGAGTGAGCTCCCTGCACTGGGCTGGCCAAGCAGGCCAAGACTGACGTGGGTTGTGCCAGCCAGCGCAGAGGAAAACCGGCGCTGTGTGTGTCCCAGTGCACGTCAGGCATGGGGGCCTTTGCTGGGCGTGTCCACTTGGCGGGATCCATCGGGCCAGTGGAGGGAAAGCCACGTCTCCCTCACACTCTGCCGCGAAGTTCACTCAACTGTGAGGGATGGGTGCCTGCTCTGGGGCTTGCCCCCCCCGCCCCCAGCATGGTGACGGTGGCCCCGAGAATCAGTCCTCCTGCCCACCTGGCGTTCCACAGGGAGACTTGGAATTTGGGGAAAGGTCAGGAGGGCCAGAGGATGATGCTGCTTCAGGCTTTAAGCCCATGGACTTTGAGAACTGCCTGCGGGTGCCTGAGCCAGCCTGGCAGTGAAGGTGGGTTAGTCCATGTTCTAGGTTCAGCTGGGAGAACTTCTACTGGCTTCTATGGTGAACAAGCACAGGGCTGATCCAATTTCTTCTCTTTTTTCTTTTTCTTAAATATCTACTTATTTATTTATTTGGTCACGCCGGGTCTTAGTTGCAGCGGGTAGGCTCCTGCAGGTGCAGCTCACGGGCTCCTTAGTTGCAGCACATGGGCTCCTTAGTTGTAGCATGCATGTGGGACCTAGTTCCCTGAACAGGGATTGAACCTGGGTCCCCTGCCTTGGGAGCGCACGGAGTCTTCACCACCATGCCACCAGGGAAGTCCCTGATCCAGTTTCTTTATGAGGGAATAAGGCTTTTGTCTTCAGTTGAAGGGCGTAATCGGAGATGAATTTCAGAGCTGAGGGTAGACTCCTCCCTGGAGCAAGGAGTTCCCCTGCAGCCCACCCCACCTTTGGCTAATTCTTCTGCGTTGGCAAATCTGAGTGAGAAAAGGGGCTCAAGGACACCTTCGACATCCCAGCCAAATTTGGGCGAGGTTTTGGCTTCTTGCCAAGTGGCAGGGCAGCTGGATCCACAGCACAAATGGGGCTATAAAAATGGAATAGGAGGCGGCCTGCATCACCCCCTCACCCCCCCGGCCTCGCCCTCAGCGTGTTAGGGTGTGATTTGTAATAGGGTGCGAGTACAGAAGGACTGGGTGAGAATGCCCAATGGGGGGGGCCAGGGTACTTGCCTTTGAAGACACATGAGCGGGCAGGATGGGCTCGGCATCCTCACGCAAACGCACCACGCCTTCCTTCACACCATTACCCATTCCAGGCCTGCTCAGGATGGCGGGAGACTCAGTCCTAGGGAGCAAGAAGGGACGAGGTGAGAACCTGGCCTCCTCCACCAGCCTGGGGCCTCTGATTCATCCTCAAGTGGCCCGATGCCAGCATTGCCCCAGTGGCACGCTTCTCCTAACCTGGCTTCTGTCTCTCTGCAGGATAAAGACACCCGAACCTGTACCTGGATGCCACAGTCCCCTGACCTGACTGCTTAATCATTTACAAAAGCTCTTCTCATCAGCTCTTTTATTTCATCCTCACAAATGGGCCTCTGAGTCCTCTGTTTTTTTACCCTAGTACCAACTGCCCAGATTGGCTCAGAGAGGTTAAGCTGGCAGCAAGGTCACATCACACAGCAGGAGGCAGGGGCGTGGCAGGGTGTAGGGTGTGGAGGCTGGAGGGCTCCACCTGCCCTGGAGCCCAGTGCCCTCTGGGCTTATGCCAGCTTGGACCTGAGACTCCGTCCACAGGAATACTTTTAGAAAATTAATCTTTGTCCTACTGTGTGGCTGCCTGCCCTTTGCGGACAAGTTATAGTAAAGTGTCCTAATACTTGAGGATTCCTCCCTGGAAACCTGTAAGCAGACAAGTTAGGGGGTCCCCGGAGAAAGAGAACCAGGAATGGCTCTCTTGACCTAAGAGAAGCCATTTTGGCCTAAGCCATTTTGTGAGCTAAGCCTGGCAGCAATGCTTGCCCTTGAACAGGTCTCGGTAATTAATGACCTAAAGCGAACAAAGGAATGCAGGAACAGAGAAAAGGCAGTCAGACAGTAGTGCAGTGATAAAGCAGAGTCCTAGTTCCTCCTCAAGGGATAGACATAATAATAAATATATCTTTGAGTTCTTTGGGAACTAAGGCCCCCACCCAGGTGGAGGGTGGAATGATGTTGACCCTCTTGACTTCAATCAACTAAAGCTTGGACTCTGTGGACCTTTGCCCCAATTCTATGCTGAATTATCCTCTGTTCAAGCCCCTTCATGAATATGCATGTACCCTGAGCTTAAAACTTCCCCAATTTTGCTGTTGGGGAGACACTGCTTTGGGAAAGGTCCCCGGTGTTCCCCTTACTTGCTGAAAGTCATAATAAATCCTTCCTTCTCCCCTCCCCATCTTCGGCTTGGTTGTGTCTATTGGCTTGACACCAACCAAGAGATGAACCCAGTTTTCAGGTAACACAGGCTCGTGTCCAAATTTCCTCTTATGAAAGAATGTCTTTTCCTCTTGTAAGGACACCAGTCCTATTGGATCGGGGTCCACCCTAACAACCTCAAGTAATACATCCTTCCTTCTCCCCATCTTTGACTTAATTGTGTCTATTTGCTTGACACCCACCAAGACGTGAACCCAGTTTTCGGATAACAAACCTACCTTTAACCTCCAAGTGCAGGTGCACTCAAAGCTCAGCCAACCACACGGAGGGGACCAGGAGGAAAAAAAGATGAAGGACTGGTGTCACAGAGATGCCACTAGGCACCGGTATGCTTGGAGGTATCCCTTGCTTTAAAATCACCCAATGAATCAATATGCTTTCCTGTAAAATGATGCAAACGAGCCAGATGCCCCCGTGAGCCAGCTCTGGAAGCCCCTCCTGCCCTCCAGGTCCTCCCAGGCACCCACTGGTAAGGAACATCCTAGGAAGCACAAGCAGGATTCTGTTCCAAGTGGCCTCTGCCGCTGTTTCCTACCTAAAATGGTCCCTGGCTCGGGGATGAACAGCTGCTTCTAAGACGTGGCCAGAAACTCAACGATGAGCCTGGACCACCCTGAGGTGTCAGGCAGGAACCAAAGTCAATGGGACTGAGAAAATGGGACACAAAGGCAAATCAAAGAGCTCCTAGTGGCCAAAGCAGAGCAACAAAATCAATAAAGCAGTGTTGGGTTTTTTTTTTTTTTTTTTTTTTTTTTTAGCATAGAGAGCTCAAGTATGCTTAGAATGTAGGCTGGGTGTAGTTAAGACTGGAAAGGTCAGGTGCAGTTGGATGATGGAGAGCGCACAGTGTTTGGTTTTTTTTTTTTTTTTTTTTTTTTTTTGGCTGCACCAAGGCATGAGGGATCTCAGTTCCCCATCCAGGGATCGAACCCATGCCCCCTGCAGTGGAAGCACAGAGTCTTAACCGCTGGACCACCAGGGAAGTCTCAGAAGTGTTGGATTGTAACCCAAAGTGTAAGATAAATAGCCGAGAGTCCACATGGATATAAATAAATGATTGAATAAATAAATAAATGAGGGAGAAGAGACAAATCTCCCAGGCAGAAGAATCCCAAATAAGTTACGCAGATGCTCAGTGCTGGAGGAAGGGAAGCGTAAGCATGACCCCTGAGGTGTGGGCCACGTGGCAAATTCCTTCCAAAGGGCACAGCACAGAAAGGGGGGAAGGGAGTAACTTTACAGTGAGGACACCTGACAGACACCATCTCAGCCACGTGATCAAGGTCAACACCACAGTGATAAGTCACACTGATGGCGCGTGCCCTGGACACGTGTGTGATGAGAAAGGCACTTCCCCTCTGTGGTCCTCCTCTCCAAAGCCCAGTCCAACCATGAGAAAAACACCAGACAAATCCCAACCAAGGGCCAAGGGCCACAAAACACCTGACCAGTTCTCATCAAAACCGTCAAGGTCGTCGAAACCAAGAAAGTCTGAGAAACTATCTTAGGCCAGAGAAGCCTAAAGAGATGTGACGACTAAAGGTAATGTGAGGATCCTGAGACAGAAAAAGCACATTAGGGAAACACTAAGGAAATGTGAATAAACAATGGACTTCAGTTAATAACGATGTATCAGTATTTGTACATCAGTTGTGACAAATGTACCATACTAAAGGAAGATGTTATTAATACGGGAAACTGGGTGTGTGCAGTGGAGGGGAACTCTGTATTACTTTTGCAATTTTTATATAAACCTAAAACTGCTCACAGACAAACAAAGAGAAACTAGGCCTTAGGGATCTTTTCCAGCCAGTGGCTGGGGTGTCTGTCTGTGGAGGACACTGTGACTCTATCACCCTCCATGCGTCCGGCTGCTGCTCAGAGGCACCCCCGACACTATGGACCCCGGGGGACTGTCCTCACACCTGGGCACCCGGATGCAGATGGTGCAGCCTTTCTTTGTTTCTTCTGGCTGCGCTTTGCAGCATGTGGGATCTTAGTTCCCCGACCAGGGATCGAACCCGTGCCCCCTGTGCCCCCTGCAGTGGAAGTGCGGAGTCCTAACCACTGGACCGCCGGGGAATTCCCAGTGCGGCCTTTCTTAGGGCTGGGTCAGGCGTGGTGAATGTGGACACGTTCTGCAAAACTGCCCTCCTGAGGAAGGATCCAGCCCTTTAGTCCCGGCCTCATACAGTCTAGAGTCTGAGCACTTGCCTCCCTCCCTCCCGCGGCCCGCTGGGAGCTCTGCAGTTGGCTCAGACAGGGCCTCGGTGTGGTGGATGCAAACAGAAACAAAGGCACCACACAAACCAGTGCAGACCTACAAGAGCGTGTCACTGCAGGTGACAGAGTGCCAAGGCTGAGTCCCGGGAAGGCACCTGCAGGGGGCTGAATGGTGAGCCCCCCCGCCCCAAGACATGTCTCCCTGGAATCTGTGAATGTGGCATTATTTGAAAAAAGCCTTCACAGATGTAATTAAGGTAAAGATCTAGAGATCCTTACCCTGGGTGAGGGTAGGTCCTAACAACAATGACAAGTGATCTGATAAGAGACAGAAAAACAGACACAGGCAGGGAGGCCGTGTTTAGACAGTGGCAGAAATTGGAATGATACACACAAGCCACAAGCCAAGGAACACACAGAGCATAAAAGCTGTAAGAGACAAGGAAGCATCTTCCCCTAGAGCCTTAGGAGTGGCTCTGCAGGAGGATTAATTTGGGATTTCTGACCTCCACATCTGTGAGAGAATAAACTTGTGTTGTCTCAAGACACTTTGTGGTGATTTGTTACAGCGGCCAAAGGAAACTAAGATCCTTTTTGGAGGAGAAGCTGGGGTGCCTCAGGCCCCCCAACCCCAAGCAGAAGGGGCAGCCAGAGTCTGCAAGCTGCTTCCGAAAGGGCCCGGTGCCTCCAGGAAGCTCCCCAGGATTGCAGGGCAGAGAGAAGGAGATTCCCGTCCTGGGGCAGTGGCGGGGTTGGGGGTGGGGGAGGCCTCAAGTTTTTGCCTCTTAGGCCAAAGCCTATTTTCCTAGGAAGTAAAGAGCTCTTTGCCCTTTCATAAACAAAAACAAAAAAAACTCAAGACAAAGGCAAAGAAACAGCCAGGTCACTGGGAAGGAAAAAAAAAACTTAAAAACATGACAGGTACCAGACTGCACTCATAATGAGAAAATTGTGTTTAACCTTTGGTGGGGGGGCTGTTGGCATGTGTGGGGACAGTAATGCAACTGGTAGATGAGACTGAGGCAGATTGTGGGGAGCATCTCTCTGCAGGTGATTTAGCAGATGCCTTGGAATGTGTGCTGTGCCCCCAGACAGGTGAGCATGAAGCCTCATGGGCCAGTAAGGCCACAGCCAGGTGCTGGTCCCAGTGAAGGTATGAAGGTCTGGATGGGAAGCTATGGGGGAGCGAGGAGAGGGGGACAGGGAGAATGTGTGACCTAAGCCCTCACAGGAGGACACCACCCAGCCTGTCACTAATGAGTGAACCTACCTGAACCCAGGTGGGAGGCTGTCCCGATGCAAAGACTGGAAGCAGACCAGGTGTTTATAGAGTGCTGTCAACAGTGATGGGGGGCTTCCCTGGTGGCTCAGTGGTTAAGAATCTGCCTGCCAGTGCAGGGGACACAGGTCCAAGCCCTGGTCCGGGAAGATCCCACATGCCGCAGAGCAACTAAGCCCGTGCGCCACAACTACTGAGCCTGCGCTCTAGAGCCCATGAGCCACAACTAATGAGCCCGTGAGCCGCAACTACTGAAGCCCGTGTGCCTAGAGTCCGTGCTCCGCAACAAAGAGAAACCACCACAATGAGAAGCCTGTGCACCGCAACGAAGAGTAGCCCTCGCTCGCCACAACTAGAGAAAGCCCGCA